GAAAGAGCCGCTAAATTAAGTTCTAAGTTAGGGGAGGGCAGTATGACTGCTTTACCTATAGTAGAAACGCAATCGGGAGATGTTTCTGCTTATATCCCTACTAATGTAATTTCTATTACTGATGGACAAATATTCTTATCCGCCGATCTATTTAATGCTGGAATAAGACCTGCTATTAATGTGGGTATCTCTGTTTCCCGAGTGGGGTCTGCAGCTCAAATTAAAGCCATGAAAAAGGTAGCTGGTAAATTAAAATTAGAACTCGCCCAATTCGCTGAATTAGAAGCCTTTGCCCAATTTGCTTCTGATCTTGATCGAGCTAGTCAAAATCAATTAGCAAGAGGTCAACGATTGCGCGAATTGCTTAAACAATCCCAATCCGCTCCTCTGACGGCGGCAGAGCAAATTATTACTATTTATGCTGGAATAAATGGGTATCTTGATTCATTAGAACTTGGACAGATCAGCAAATTTCTTATTGAGTTATATACTTACTTCAAAACTAATAAACCTCAGTTCCAAGAAATCATATCGTCTACCAATACATTTACCGATGAAGCAGAAGCCCTTTTGAAAAAAGCTATTCCGGACCAAAAGGATCGGTTTCTACTTCAAGAAAAACTTTAAATAAGTACTTCAATCAAAAAATTCAAACACAATAGAAAGATATGGAAAAATTGCGCCCAATAGGATTTGAACCTATACCAAAGGTTTAGAAGACCTATGTCCTATCCATTAGACAATGGACGCTTTGGTGCTTCTTTTTTGCGTCTTACCCCTCAAAATTATTTGTAACAATAAATAATTAGATCGGATTCTAGGTGATCTTTTTTTATTGTCTATTCCTATTCCCCTTTAAAAATATTCTCATTAATGAGCATCTCCAAATAAATCTTTCAAATAATAATCAAATAATAATTTTTTTATTCCATTTTTATTCAATATGAAATTCAAAATGATTTTCTACTTCCTTAGAAAACAACGCCCGGTTGAGTAAGGACCGGGCCGTGCGAACAAGAATAGCCTTTTCAACATTTAAATAATTGAGTAAAAAATCAAAACAAAACATCTTATAACTCTTAATTTAGATTTTTATAAAATAATATAATAAAAATATTTAAATAATAGATTGAAAAGCATAATCAAAATAAAAAAAATTACTTAGTTCTATGTTTATTATAAAATAAGAATTCTCTAAATAAAATTTGGAGAGATGGCTGAGTGGACGAAAGCGTCGGATTGCTAATCCGGTGTACGAGTTTTTCGTACCGAGGGTTCGAATCCCTCTCTTTCCATTTTTGTGGATCGTATTATTTCTTTTTTTTTTTTTTTTTTATTTGCAAATTCGTTTTATTTTATTCTTCACGTCCAGGATTACGCCTTGGATCATTAGATAGGAACCCAAAGATAAATAGAGAAACAAAAAAGATGACTACTGTGTATACGAAGAGTTTGAGAGTAAGCATTACAAACCTCCAATATTTTTTATTGAAAAAAAAATAAATAGAATATATTTTCTATTTTGAGACCACATAGGTACTATAAGGTACCAAGAAAGAAAGTTGAAATAGAGTTAATTTTCTAAAGAAAAAAAATTTCATAAATCAAATTGAAATAAGAGTTTACCAAATTAAATATGGGGAATGGTCCTAATCCTAGTAGAGTCTTTTACTATAAAAAAAAGCTTTAAAAAGCAAGGAAGTTCTTATTCTTATTTTACTCAATTTGTTTAATTAAGTATTTCATCGAAAACTAACAACAGCCTGCCAAACAAAAGCTAAAAGAAAAAAAAGAACAGGTATTATTGGCATAAAATCGACGATTGGATTCAAAAAAGCATAAGATTCGGGCAATTTGCCGAATAAAAAACTACTTGAATAGAAGACAGAATTAAGACAGATAAAACTAAGCATAAAAGACATGTTTTTTTTTGATAATGAATTATTAAGATATGATTTTTATAAAATTAATATAAAAACATTATATTGAATTCGTAGGGCGGGCGCAAATTGATTCCTCTTTTTAATTGAACCCTTCACAATGACTAGAAATATTTCAATATTTATAATACACTATAATAGAATATAGACAATATAATAATATACAAAAGAAATAAATTAACACATAAAAAAAACCAGAACCATAGAATCAAATTGATATCCATTTTAAATTCAATAGACAAAAATAAAATGGTTATTTAATTTTTGAAGTGTTGAAGTGGGGCGTGGCCAAGTGGTAAGGCAACGGGTTTTGGTCCCGGAATTCGGAGGTTCGAATCCTTCCGTCCCAAATCTTTTTGATCTTATTATTTCTATCGAATAGAAATAGTCTATTGAGATAGAAATAATAGAGAGAAAATAATCTATCTACCTAAATAAAATATATAGAAAACCTAAAAGGATAGTATGTTTAGAGACAACTCAAACCAATACTAGAACCTATGACTATTAAAGATTCCCTGATTTAATCAAGTACATATTGGTTCCAAATTCTAAGAAAGAATATTATGGTCCAACGTGGTTTGCAACGATGTGGTATAAATCAACATGTCACTTTAAAGATGAAAACCAAGATCCGTTATCTTGTTACATCCACCATTTTTTTTTATAAATAAAATAATAGGTTATTGGCTTTATAGCAGTGAATTTGTTCCATATGATCTAAATAATGCTATTTTGTAATAGAAAGAGATTTTGATGTATATAGTTTATATAGTTATAGTTATGGTTTTTTTGTATAAAAAAAGGAGGAACTTAAAATAGATTTACAACTAGAGAGATCGAAAGAACAGAATTTCCTTTATCCACTTTTATTTCAGGAGTAGTATATTTATGTCCTTGTTCATGATCGTGCTTTAAGTGGTTTAAAAGGGTCAATTTCTGCTGAAAATATAGTATATAAAAAAAAATTTAGTTTTCAAATTGTGAAACGCTTAATTACTCAAATGTATCAACAGATACAGCTCACTAATTGTTATTATAAAAAAAGTCAAATTTTTAGAACCAGCAAGTTGTTCTATTGTAACCAGTTAGCTGAGGTTTTTGCTTTTATTTTGGAAATTCCGTCTTATTTAAGATTCATATCAGAGCGCAAAAAAAAAAAACTCTTAAAATCTAATAATTTACGTTTACGGTCAATTCATTCCATATTTCCATTTTTTGAAGACAATTTATCACATTTAAATTTGGTATTAGATCTACTAATTCCCTCCCCCCCTCATCTGGAAATCGTGGTTCAAATAATTCGGTATTGGGTCAAAGAGGCTTCTTCTTTACATTTATTACGCTTCTTTCTATATGAGTTTTACAATTTTCAAAATTTGAATACTCCCAATAGGTCCCATTACATTTTGACAAAAAGACCTGAGCGGCTTTTCTTCTTTTTATATAACTCTTATTTATATGAATATGAATCCGTTTTTGTCTTTCTCCGCAACCAGTCTCTTCATTTAAAAGCAATCAGTTTTCGAGCACTTTTGGAAAGGAATCTTTTCTATGGAAAAATCGAATGCCTTTTAGAAGTATTTAATGAGGATTTTTCTGCAAGTATCCGTTTGTTAAAGGCTCCGGATCTTTCAATGCATTATGGTAGGTATAGGGGAAAGTCAATTATGGCATCAAAAGAAACGTTTCTTTTGATATCAAAATGGAACTATTATATTGTAAAATTTTGGGAATCTTATTTTTCTCTTTGGTTCCATACTGGAAGAATAAATAGAAATCAATTATCCATCCATTCTTTTTCATTTATGGATTATCTTTCAAGTATTGTAGTAATCCCTTCAATAATACGAAGTCAAATGTTAAAGAATTCATTTTTAATAAAAAATGCTATTCATCAATTTGATACTGTTGTTCCAATTATTCCTATCCTTAGATCCCTAGCTAAAGCTAAATTTTGTAATGTACTTGGGAATCCCATTAGTAAACCGGGTTGGACCGACTTCTCAGATTCTGAGATTATTAAAAGGTTTGGGCGGATATGTCGAAATTTTATTCATTATTATAGTGGTTCTTCCAAAAAAACCAGTTTGTATCAAATAAAGTATATACTTAGGCTTTCTTGTGCTCGAACTCTAGCTCGGAAACACAAAAGTACTGTACGCGATTTTTTAAAAAGCTTGGGCTCGGAATTTTTAGAAGAATTTTTTACATCGGAAGAACAAATTTTTAATTTCACGTTTTCAAAGGCTTCTTCAAATTTGAGGCGAGTTTATAAAAGGCGGATTTGGTATTTTGATATTGTTTGTATCGAAGAGCATATTAATTTTTAAAAATTCATGCATCTTGTCAAATTCAAATTTTTACCAAATTATAAAATTATTAATAGAGGCAAAAAGTTTTATTTTTCCATTTGATCGTAAATCTTTCTTAAAAAGTCTAATTAAAGGGTAAGCTTAGTTTTAACTTTTTTAAAATTGACTACAGATAATTTATATATAATTTATATATATATATAGGAACGCTTATTCACAAAAATATTAAAAAAAAAATATATTCTTTACTCGAACTAACAAGTTCCAGATTGTAATTATGAGTACCAAATCGTCATATACTTAAATTAAATGGAGAAAATTTGCTTGACTTAAAAAAAGGGGGCGGAATCAAATTAGATAGCTCTATTGGTTGACACGAATATCTAAGTCGTGTTATACTGTTGAATAACAAGCCTTTAATTTATTCTATTTTTTTTTATTTCGTGTGCTTGGGAGTCCCTGATTATAAAATCAACCAAGAATTGATCATGACTGCAGTTTTAGAGAGACGCGAAACCCAAAGCTTATGGGGTCGTTTCTGTAATTGGATAACTAGCACTGAAAATCGTCTTTACATTGGATGGTTTGGTGTTTTGATGATCCCGACTTTATTGACCGCAACTTCTGTATTTATTATTGCCTTCATTGCTGCTCCACCAGTAGATATTGATGGTATTCGTGAACCTGTTTCTGGATCTCTGCTTTACGGAAACAATATTATTTCAGGTGCCATTATTCCAACTTCTGCAGCTATAGGATTACATTTTTACCCAATATGGGAAGCGGCATCCATTGATGAATGGTTATATAATGGGGGTCCTTATGAACTAATTGTTCTACACTTCTTACTTGGTGTAGCTTCTTATATGGGGCGTGAGTGGGAACCTTAGTTTTCGTCTGGGTATGCGCCCTTGGATTGCGGTTGCATACTCCGCTCCGGTTGCAGCTGCTACCGCAGTTTTTCTTAATCTATCCAATTGGTCAGGGAAGTTTTTCTGATGGTATGCCCCTAGGAATCTCTGGGACTTTCAATTTCATGATTGTATTTCAGGCTGAGCACAATATTCTTATGCACCCATTTCATATGTTAGGCGTAGCTGGTGTATTTGGCGGTTCCCTATTCAGTGCTATGCATGGTTCCTTGGTAACTTCTAGTTTGATCAGGGAAACCACAGAAAATGAATCGGCTAATGAAGGTTACCGATTCGGCCAAGAGGAAGAAACGTATAATATAGTAGCCGCTCATGGTTATTTTGGACGATTAATTTTCCAATATGCTAGTTTCAATAATTCTCGTTCATTACACTTCTTTTTAGCTGCTTGGCCTGTAGTAGGTATTTGGTTCACTGCTTTAGGTATCAGCACTATGGCATTCAATCTAAATGGTTTCAATTTTAATCAATCCGTAGTTGATAGCCAGGGCCGGGTAATTAATACTTGGGCTGATATAATTAATCGTGCTAACCTTGGTATGGAAGTTATGCATGAACGTAATGCTCACAATTTCCCTCTAGACCTAGCTGCTATCCAAGTTATAGCTACAAATGGCTAGAGACTTCGTCTCTTAGTATATAGATAGAGAATCTATTTAAAATAGAATAAAGGAGCAATTCCGCCTTCTTGTCTAGAACAAGAAATCGGTTATTGCTCCTTTATTGATTCCTTTTTGAAAATAACATAGTTTAGTCGGGGGCGGATGTAGCCAAGTGGATTAAGGCGGTGGATTGTGAATCCACTATGCGCGGGTTCAATTCCCGTCGTTCGCCCATCACTCGAATTATCGTTTCGATAAATTCTATAAATGGGTGAAATATATGAGTGAAAGTAAATAACATGCCGCTATGGTGAAATTGGTAGACACGCTGCTCTTAGGAAGCAGTGCTAGCGCATCTCGGTTCGAGTCCGAGTAGCGGCATAAAAAATAAGAGTAATCTTTTGTTCTTTTTCATTTTTTTCTTATCTAATTCGGAGTTAAAATCTTATTTTTTTTTTATTTTTATGATAGTTTCAACCTTAGAACATATACTAACTAATATTTCACTTTCAATAATACTCGTTTCTATTTTAATTAAAATTTATTTGAAAATCTTTTTTGTAGATGAAAACATAAAACTTTCTAATTCATCAGAAAAGTGCATTTTTCATAACTTTTTTATGTATAACAGGATTATTAGCTACTCATTGGATTTCGTCGGGCCATTTCCCACTAAGTGATTTATCGGAATCTTTGCTTTTTCTTTCCTGGAGTTTTGCTCTTATTAATAGCCTTTCCTATTTAAAAAAAAATACAAAATTATTAAGTACAATAATAAGCCCAATCAATTTTTGTATCCAGGCTTTTGCTACTTCGGGTCTTTTCACAGAAATTAAAAAATCTTCAATATTAGTCCCCGCTCTTCAATCTGAGTGGTTAATAATGCACGTAAGTATGATGATAGTGGGTTACGCAGCTCTTATATGTGGCTCCTTATTATTCAGTAGCACTTATGGTCATTACCTTTAGAAAAATGAAAATATTTTTAAAATGAATTATATTTTTTTCGGCTAAAAATTTTTATAAGATTCAATTAAGTAAAGAATTGGATTATTGGAGTTATCGAGTTATTAGTTTAGGGTTTATCTTTTTAACCATAGGAATACTTTCGGGGGCTTTGTGGGCGAACCAAGCGTGGGGATCTTATTGGAGTTGGGATCCTAAAGAGACTTGGGCTTTTATTACTTGGATAGTGTTTTCAATTTATCTACATACTCGAAGAAATAGAACTTTCGAAGGTGCTACTTCGGCAATTGTGGCATCTATAGGTTTTCTTCTTATTTGGATATGTTATTTTTGGAGTCAATTTAATTGGATTAGGTCTACATACTTATGGTTCATTTTCGCGAACATAAAAAAAGACATTAATTTTTTACTTCGTGAAAAGCTAAAAATTTGTGAAACCCGTGCTCTCAAATAAAAATATTTCCTATTTGAGAGCACGGGTGTTCAATAAAAATAGAATGAATTCAAATATACTTTTCTGGACCAGATCAATAAGCGAGACCCATACTGCGAGTTGTTTCATGCCATAAATAAACTCGAACACTCAAGAAATCTGTTGGGCAGGCGGATTCACATCTTTTACAGCCTACACAGTCTTCTGTTCTCGGAGCAGAAGCAATTTGTTTAGCCTTACATCCGTCCCATGGTATCATTTCTAAAACATCGGTGGGGCAGGCTCGGACACATTGAGTACATCCTATACATGTATCATAAATCTTTACAGAATGTGCCATTGGACGAATAAATTTATTAAACTTTATGAATTTATCGATATAGTATCCTCCAAATATTATTTTTATCCAATATAAAATTATAAGATACTTGGTTTTTAGATACTATATGACTCAATGAATTCTCAGAAGGATTCTAATCAATAGATTTCTGGATTGGTTTTGAAAATAAAAAAAAATTATTTTATGTTTTAATATTATCATTTTTTTATAACTACGCAAACTACCTACAAACTACCTAATAGGGTAAATAAGGATTCTTTTTTTAATTAACTCAATCTATTGTTTTAAAGTTTTAAATAAATACTCCCTTCAAATTTATACAGTAAGAATCAATAGACAAAAGGACATGATGTCTTTCTATTCACTACCCCAAGCTATTCTTTTTTAATTGTTTCAGTAACCATATTGTTGTTCTAAATTTACCTCTATAATAGGTTTGAAAAGCTATGCAACTTCAAAATGAATGAGTTTTTGTCTCTCTAATCTCCAATTTATCAATTAATTCTTTATAGCGGAATTTATTTTTTTTTGATAAATAAGCTAAAAGTCGTTGTCGTTTCCCCAAAATTTTACGTAAACCTTTTTGAGATAAATAGTCTTTTTTGTGCAATTTCAAGTGGGAAGTAAGCCGGTGTATTCTATTGGTGAAATTCCATACTTGAAATTCAACGGAACCTCTGTTTTGTAAGTTTTTTATCATAAACTAAATGAACTCCCTTCATTGATATATAATATGCATTTAAAATAATTTTTTATAATTAAGTTCTAGATTCATTTCATAGATATGAAATAATTGATTAGTAACTAAAACGAACGAACAAAAAATAAAGAAAAAAAGGATAATATTATTTACTTTTATTCTATATTATAGAATAAATCAACTTGACAGAAATGAGTCCAATGTTTTCTTATTTTTTTTGTAAAAAAAACTTTGAAACTTACCCGTTAAAAGAGATTTTGCTAATGAAAGAGCTTTTAATCTTACCTCAATAGTCTTTCTTTTCCAAATGTTCTTACGAATACGCTTTTTGGCTTTCGAAATACGTTTTTTTGGAACTGCCATTTCAAATGATTTACAGGTTATCACTGGATGTGAAAGACATTTATTGCTAAAAAGGAATTCTTCTAACTAAGTCTATCAATTCAAATCAAAAGAAAACCCTTTCTTTTAGGGTTCATTAATAAAATCAAAGTGAATTTTTTCAACTTAATATTCTTTTAATGAGGTACAATATATCTATATAGATCTAGATAGATATATGGTATCCTCAATTCAGTTAGATCCAAATTAAAATGAGGTATAAAATAGGGTATGTGTCCATATTGGTTTTCATCTAACCTGCTACCATCTACCCTGCTACAGGGTAGATAGTACTACTATCAATTAAATTTCCACCAATTTAAATTCAATGGTAAATACATATGGATCCTTAACATACTGAAACGACTCCCATTATTAGTATAAAACCAATAACGATTCATACAAGCTAAATCTTCCAATCGATAATTAGGCCAAAGAAAAAATTCAATTAATTTATTTTGATCCTTAGGCCCAGGGTTGCTTTCTTCCCAAACTTTATTTTTGTTGGAAACTAGAGAATTTGCATCCACGCCATTCCATTTGTGTGAATTGAAACAAATTAGAGTTCTTAATTCTCTACGACGCCTAGATGATAAAATATTTTCAATAAGAAGCGGATCACAATTATTGTTCTCTCGAGCGCGAATTATTCTTTGTTTTACGTCTTCTTTATTAAGAATTTGGTTTACTCTTATGAACCAACGAAATAACTATCGTTTCATACATAAGAAATTCTCCATTTGGTTTGATAGACAGCGGAAGGGGGTCGACCAAAAATCCCGTCTTTTTTAAAAATTCTGGAACACTCTCTTTTGAATCTGGAACACTCTCTTTTGAATCTGGAACATTTCTTTTTGAATCTGGAACACTCTCTTTCTGATCCATCTGTGGCATTAGACCCAAATTTAACTTTTCCCTTAGAATCCATGATAGCATCATTTTTTTTCGATTTATCATTCTAAGCAAGAGACAATAGATTTGGAGATCTTGGAAAAGGCCTTGATTTAAAGTAAAATCCTCTCTAAATTGAAAAAATAAATAGTTTTTCATGAATAACTCTAGTTCTATCTCAGTTTGACTTTTCTTTTCACCTTCAGTTTCACCTTCAGTTTCGCCTTTGGTTTCACCTTCAGGTTTACCTTTGGTTTTCACCTTCAGGTTTACCTTTGGTTTCACCTTCAGGTTTACCTTTGGTTTCACCCTGAGTTTCACCTTTGGTTTGACCCTCAGGTTCACTTTTGGTTTGACCCTCGGCTTTATCTTTTTTTTTACTCTCAGTTTTATCTTTTTTATCTTTCTGAGTTTTACCGGTCTTTTGACTTGTCATTTCATTAAGATTCAAATTTGAAATAAGTGATTCGCTTGGTATAATCCATGGTTTCAGTTTATATAAATTAACAAACCACACAAATTCTGGGAAAACCAAAAGTTCCTCAGCCGTTAATGGACGGTCGAGTATTTCTTCATTCAGTCCCATCCAATCCAATAAAGAATTTCTAGAATGGAGTCGATTCATTTCGGTATTTTTCTGAATCAAAAGAGCAAAAGGATCTTTTTCGTTTTTAAAAATTTGCTCAATTTTCAAAATTTCTTCCATTTTATCAATTAATTGATAATTGTAAGTGAAAATTGGAGTATTTTGAGTATTGTTATAATTACCCGTGATCCAGGACTCAATATTCG